ACGCGGCCTGCGCGCTTCCTGGTGCGCGGCCTGCACGTGGCCTGCGCACTGCCTGGCGCAGCCTGCGCGACCTGGCCGACCTGGATCAACCTGGCACATGATCCAACCTGGCCAACCTAGCCGACCTGGATCAGCCTAGCACAAGATCCGACCTGGCCGACCTAGCCGACCTGGATCAGCTTGGCACACGACCCGAACTGGCCGACCTGGCAACCCATAAGACGCCCACCTATAAACTCGGCATGCATACCCCACGAGCTCGGTAGCTCACCAAGGAGCTCGCCAAGGAGCTCGGTAGCTCACCAAAGAGCTCGCCAAGGAGCTAGGTAGCTCTCCAAGGGGCTCACCACCAAGGAGCCAGGCAGCTCGGCAGAGCTCGCTACAAGCAGCTCGGCATAGCCCAAGGAGCTCGTAATAGCTCCCCCGGGCAACTTGCCACTTGTAGGGTAGCTCGGTACAGAAGAGCAGTTTGGAGTATCGCAGGAAGATCTCCTACCTGCCAACCGTACCTCACAAATCTGGAGACTCGCGCCCACATCTCTCGCCAAGCGGCGCCTTGCCTGGCAGAGCCGTACTCTGCAATAATCGCCTGCACCCACCGCCTCAGCTCTGACAGCGACGACTACGATAGAGAGACAGAGGCGGTCACGCCTGATTTGACAGGACACCGCTATATAAGGACTCCCACCCCCAAAGGCAAGGGGGAGGGAAGAGAAGGAAAATATGGAGTAATCTTTGCTCTCTAGCTCTCTCATTCCTCTAATATCATCTTCAAGCTCTCGACAATCAGAGTGCTAACTTAGGCATCGGAGAGTCCCCGCCGGGTAAATACCCCCGGGCCCCCTGGTTCAGTTATCGCAGGTTCCTCAGCTCCCGCTGCCTACAAAGAGGAGGAAAAGATGGAGTTCTCGCAGGTCCCTCAGCTCCCGCCGCCTACAAAGGAGAGGAGATCACCTGATGCAGAGGGCAATTGGGTTGCGCTACACCAGGGTGCTCCACCATCCTCTTGAGTTATAGGCCGCCTAGGAGCAGGTCAAATGACGAGTCCACCAAGGTAGCTCACCACCAGGGAGCTCAGTATAGCTTTCCCCCGGGCAGTTCGCCATCAGGGAGGCAGTTAGCCCTCAGGGAGCTCGTCACCAAGCAGCTCACCACCAGGGAGCTCATCACCATGTAGCTCGTCACCAGGTAGCTCACTACCAGGGAGCTCGTCACCAGGTAGCTCACCACCAGGGAGCTCGTCACCAAGTAGCTCGTCACCAGGTAGCTCACCACCAGGGAGCTCGTCACCAAGTAGCTC